TGTGTGTGTGTGTGTTTGCATATACAGGGTATAGCCAATATAAACTACTCCAAACAAAGGAAAAACCCACGTGTCCCGCAGGTTTTCTGGCTGTTCTGCACTATAGCAGGATGCCTTTCCTGGCATGAAAATAAGAGTCATCCATAGAGAATTAGGGAAATTCCTGTCAACAGAGCAGCCTTTTTATGGTGATGAGATTATGTGCGTGACAATTATGTAACTAGAAAAGATGTCAAAGTTACTGTTAGTCATTGACACTGACAGAACAGAGCCATTGTCAGGGAGGGAACTTTACACTGTTTGTTTTTATTTATGTTGGCTATCCTCTGTATGGGTTTGTGAACACGTATATGTGTGTATGCATGCTGAGCTGTGAGTGTGTATTGTGTGTTGTACTGTACTGTATGTTTCTGGTGAATGATTAGTTGAAAATGTGTCAGAGCAGATTCAAGATCAGAGATGGACTTGACAGATAAATTCAGACACTACCCTTAATAACAGTCTCATTACTGGTACATGAATTGTGTAGCCTTCTGTCACCTGGAGAGACTGTCCTGATTTGTGCAAAGATAACTTTTTGTTACTGTTTTAATTTTATTGTTACTATTATTGTTCATGTATGGCAATGAGCTTCCTGCCAGCCACAGTGCCCACCCTCAATTTCACTGCCCACTCTGCAACCACATGGGGGCATTGCGACATTTCTCCACACTGTTTTGACTCAACAGAACCAAGAATGCACTGTGAAGAACAGCACAAAGTAGAAGCAACTCTTCCCAAATTCCCCTTAGATGTGTGTTTATGGTGAATATGCATATCTTCATTCTATTCTGGGACTTGTGCTTGTAGGATAAATGTTGTTTTGGTGAAATATTTTTTACATCTAGCACCACCCTCTGGCTAATCAATGCTTGTGAAAGTGGGATTTTCAGAGTTTTTGCTGTTCTTTCATCAAAGGAAGAAAAAGAAGAAAAAAGTTGCGCTTAAATAATGGGAGGTAATTTTCAGTTGCACAACAAGGTAACAGCACAGATGGTGAAAAAAAAATGTGTATAGTAATGTCTGGAAAAGGGAAAAAGAATACATTATTATGTGTGTAAATAATTGCCAGTACCCGAATTAGTTTATCAAATGGAGTATCTTTGTGTCTGCCTTTTTGTAGAATTATACATGCCCACGGATACGATAGAAAATGACCCTTGTGAAAATAAAGTAAAGAGCCCCGGTGCCCAGTGGATGCTACCTTGCCTTGCATGTTAACGGCTGGGTATTATATTCCTGAAGCAGTAATAAATCTTAAGGGGTGTCGGGGGTTGTGGTGTTTATTTTGTGTGACTGTGGAAGGTATTAGCCTATAGGCCTTACAAAATGTCATCATGGTTTGGACCCTTTTGCTCCCCCAGCTCAGGGCCCGGGATAACTGTACTGTTTGCCCTGTCTTTGTGACAGACCTGGATGGTTTTTGTCAGAGAGCTGGCTTAGGGGGCTTTAAAGGGGTGTTTTATTCTCAGCCATAGAATGCACAATAAGCATGCACAGCAAAGTGCAGTCGCCATCCTGCCTTGTTCCTGAGATTCAGTTTGTATCGGCGTCCAATACTGTACAACACTGAATAAAGCTTTTTTTTTTAAGTATTCTTAGCACTGCCCAGCAGATTCACATCGAAGCCTCCTGTCCTTCTTGTTCTCTTTTCAGTCGATGCTGCAATGTGGGTTGACAGTGTGGTCAGTCATCTCCCTACCTACAGTGTAAATACTGTCTGTTTCTGAAGTGTAAACATTATGCTTCTGCTCAAATAGACTGTTCTACAACACCCTAAGCCTTGTCCCATCACGTGTTAGGTCAGATATGTTCTTTTTAGCTTTGCTGAAATAAAACTGGATTGAAACTGGGATTTTGTCATGTGGTGCTTTTGATAGCTGATTTCATTCCTTGAGTCCTTGATTTAAATGTCCAGTGTGTAACATTTAGGATCCGTTGGCATAAATGGAATATAATATGTAGTTATTTTTTCATTAGTGTATAATCACCTGAATATAGGAATCTGTGTGTTTTTGTTATCTATAGACACTGTAGGTACGCCTTCCATGGAATCCACGTTTCCATAATAGAGCCTTGCCCCCGTCACTGTAGTTTTTCCGACACTTCACAACCCGTTCTCATTTCCAGGTCATCAAATACTGGCGCAAGCGGTGTTCAGTTAGTTGCAATCTGCAACTTCACTGCTAGATGCCAGTAAATGCTACACACTTGTCCTTTAAGGAGATTCTAATTCCCCAGTATTGAAGTCCACATTTGTGAGTAAGGAGAAAAAAAAGTGCAGTCTTGGTTTTACAGGAACAAATGGTCACAACACATGAAATGCATTTGAAATAGTTTTATTAACTATTTTTCAGGTCTTACAAAAATATGACAAAATAAATTAAAAGAAATAAATAATCCCATTTCCCAGTATTTCTCTTTAAAAGATCTTTTTTTTGTTTTGTACAGTGGTACATTGGAAGAGCATATGATGTTCAGTAAGTGAGGCTTCCATGAAGATGTCCTATCTTAAACTCTGAGATTAGAGTCAGGTCTTAATGTAGCTGTGGTGAGAATCCACTCTCAGAATCCAGGAGACAGTACATTTACTAAATTCAGTCCTTCCCTACTGGTTTCACATTACACTGATGGTGCTTGTAAAGTCTAGATAAGCCCAAATCCTTTAAATAACCGCTGTTGCTTTGATAGTGAATTACAGACGGCTGATGTGTCTCAGCTGTCTGACCAGCTGTCCTTATGTGAGGGACGCCTGTGCTTGGCCCGAGAAAACAGTGATGGTGCTGTCTCTGACATGGGATGCCTCTTAATGAAGCGTTCGATGATGCCCAAAACTCTTAAAGATTTGTTAATATACCTCAACCAATGCTTATTTAAAGACCTCCATAATAACAACATGCAGAATTTGTTGCTGCTGCCAAGAGTGCAAGGATGAAAGAAGTGATAGGTTGGTTAATGCTATCGATTTCTATTATATGAAGTTGTACTTTAAGTTTTCCCTGAATAAGGAGGAACTACATACACGGAGGCATGACCTAAACTCCACTGTGATGCGCCAGTATCAGCAAATACCCTTATCGCTGCCTTCTCACTTCAGTCACCTCTGCTTTGACACTGGCCTCTCATTTTCTATACAAACTTTCACAAACTTTGAAATGACGATATATGGATTGCATCATGGTGTCACTCATCCCTGAAATCCAAATGCTGCAAGAATAAAAGTTGTGATGAGACTATGCTCAACTACGCTTACCATCCTGAGCTCTATCATATGTCTCTTCAAGAATGACCAGCCTGTGAGACTGATACACAAATTCAATTTCTCTCAGCCTTGCATTTCTCATTTTACATTTATAATGAACAATGACTTCCAAATATAAAAAAAGAACATACCGTAGATTGACAGTAAAATGATACCGTGACCACACAAACTGATATCCTGTCTATTTCCTTATTGCATTTAACGTCAGTAAGATCTCTTTGTCTGTCTGCGGAAGTACATTTTTGTATTTTCTTTAGGCATGTGGCTGAAAGGTGGACTATACTTATTGTACAGTTGTTACAGACACATAAAAGCAGCCACAAAATATAAAAACCAGCCTCAAGCTCAATGTCATCATCACCTGTAGACTAGACAGACTCTGTAAACACAAAGCAGTACATGGATGGGATTATTATTATTTTTTTGATTGTGAGTCAGGGGAGAGTCCTCACATTAAATATGAAACAGGAGGTTGAGTTGACCGAGCTGAAAGTGAAAACTGAGGGGACATAAAGAAAAGATGCATAGAGTCTGGCTGGGGACAGTGCAGTGGGATGGGTGCTGTGGGAGGGGGAGTCAGTCTAGACTTTTAGTATTACATGTAAGTCTCCTATAACTCAGTGTTATTGCCAAAAACCTTGCCAGAGGTGATGGTGTGGAAATGCATAGTTAATGTTTCTGTCTCTACACCTACAGTGTGTTGGCCTCTGAAACCTTTCTCAGTGTGTACCTTATCTAATGTCGCCATAATACATTTTCCTCTCAAAGTGCTCCTTAGTCTGACGCTCTAATTTTACTGCCCCTGTCGTATACTAATGACACTGATGTTATGGGTAAATAGTCAATAGTGAATCGGTTCAACAACACATTTTGCTATGCAAATAAACTCTGGCACCACCTTCTGGGGACCTCACAGAAGTGAAATACCATTTAATGGTAGATGATGGGCTTCCTTACTCGAGTAACACAAACAGTGTTGATGTAGATGATTAACAGAACATACAGTACATACATCTTGGGTTAACAGCATAATCCGAAAAATACCGCTTTGGTTAAAAAAGGAAATTCCCATCATCAGCACTGCAATAAAGCAATGCAGCAAATGGTGCATATAAAAAATAATATGGAGCTCAACATAAATAAGAACTGTTGTAAAAAAAAAAATACAACCCAAAAAATAATTTGAATATTCAGGAAATACCATAATTGCTGAGACCAGGGGCAGGTGAGTAGATAACATGTACTGTGTGAAAGGAGGAAATCAAAATCCAGCTTTTGCATAATGTTATGAGGCAGGCTGGTGTCGGTCCTCTCTCCTGCAGAGGGAGAGACGTTTTTCTGTAGGGCGTAAGGGTTTAGTGCAAATGTTACTTCTTTAACTCTACGCTCGTTTGCCAAGTCTGGTAAGTGTGTGGAATGGAGCACCATCTGTGTTTACAAGGCGCTCTACGGGCTTGGATGGAGAACAGCACGCAACAGGCTCCATTTTCTCTAAATCACCTTCGTCTACTTCTGCTTTCTTTTTTCTCTTTCACTTGGTCTCTTGGGAAAAATACTGGTATGTGACAGCTCGACTTACTAAGCTCTTTACTTCCTTTTTGAACAAATCGGCTACTGCCACATGATGGGAAGAAGTGTACAAAGCTCAGACATCACCTC